TATTCTGTATATTTATTCAAATAATTCTTTATTCTGTATATTTATTCAAATAATTCTTTATATATATATATATATATTCTGTATATTTACTCACATAATTCTTTTTATTCTGTATATTTATTCAAATAATTCTTTATTCTGTATATTTATTCAAATAATTCTTTATTCTGTATATTTATTCAAATAATTCTTTATATATATATATATATATTCTGTATATTTACTCNAATAATTCTTTACTGTATATATTTATCCAAATAATTCTTTATTCTATCTATTTATTCAAATAATTCTTTATTCTGTATATTTATTCAAATAATTCTTTATTCTATCTATAATATTTATTCAAATAATTCTTTGTTCTATATATTTATTCAAATATAATACTTTATTCTATCCATTTATTCAAATAATTCTTTATAGATTCTATCCATTTATTCAAATAATTCTTTATATATTCTATCCATTTATTCAAATAACTCTTTATTCTATGCGTTCGTATTCGACCGAATTCTTAATGAATTCCTATGAAACCTTATTTGGGTGAATTTCTATCCGGATAAATTTGTACTCGATAGCGTCGAATAAAACTGTATCCTTATCATATATTGTATCATCAAAATTGGTATCCCTTAACCGTCATCCGAATAAAGTATTGCAGAACCCCGGTTTCGAAAGTTTATCAGACGGGATGCAAATGAAAAATCCAGCAGTGGAGAAGAAAGGCGAAGAGGCCGCTGTAGGAGGGGGGGGGGGGGCAATAAACAGGCTTAACCTCGGTATCAAACGGCCGTCCCTTCGAGCCTTATCTATCAAGGAGGCGAGCGTAGCCCGCGGCACGCCATAAAACAAAGAGTGTGGCCCGTATATAAGGCAAAGTTCGAGGTATTCTCCGGTTTATTCAAGGGAAAGGGGGTCATTCGTCTGCCCCCTCCCCCTTGTCCCCCCGGCCGAATATTGCATTTTCTGCTCGATGGAGCGATTCGTGCCCCGGAGCACCAGCAGCCCCCGAAAACGATAGACCGGGCAAACAGAAAGCACCGGAATTGCCGGCGATGGCCTCGACCGAGGAATTTCGCGCGGCTTAATAGACACAGAATAATTTTCATCCTCGGACGACACACTTCCATATTTTTCTTCTCATTTTTTTTTTTTTTTTTTGTTGGGGATAGAGACAACGTGGGAATGACCCAAATAAAATTCTGTTCTAATGGTGCCGGGAAATTCTAATTCTCGCTGTTCTTGGCGTCTGTCTGCGCTTGCGGATGATCTTGGAAAATTGTGCTATATTGTTGGAGCAGCTTGTAAAAATGCTATAATTGCGAGACGATTTATTATATCGATATGCGATGGATGAGGATTTGAAGATCAATCGTGTCAGAAGAAAACAGTATTAAAATGTCACTGTGGAAATAAAAATAATTTCGAGAACGTGGATAGAAATTCCGGTACTCCGGAGCTTCCCAAAATTATTATCTTACTCTGTGTGTATTTTACTCTTATTATTTTCTCTGATTACGTATCACAGCGTTCAGATCTTTTCTTCAAAAATTGCATAAAATTGAACTATTTTATTCAATTTTTTTTGTATTTCAAAGCGTTCTGAACGCTCTCGCGTCGCGCGGATCCTAAGCAAAATTAATAGAACACAATTAGTAGATTAGCGTAAAGATTAATTTTCAAATCCGAGCGAATAATTTACGGCACAGGCAACGTCTTGAAGAACGAATCGGGACATCGTGGCAATAAAAATCGAGTAATCCGGTTGGCTCGGGACGGAAGGAACATCGCGATAACAGGAAAATCGAACAGTTGCCGCTGAAAGTGCTCGAAAACTGCCGTTTCTATTTCTTCGTGGACTGGCCAGACAGGGTACAGATGAACGAACACACCGCATTGATCCGATCTGGCGTCCAACAGGACGCACGCCGCGCCCGTCTCGCCGTCCTTTCAGAAACAAATATCGACTGCTGCCTGCTCAATTCCGTGCATATCCACTGGCCGCGTTAATATCGCGCTAGAGAGCATCCGCCGATCCCCTTTCGCCCCGTTCCAACGAAAGAGAAACCGTCCCCCGGCGAATTCTGCATCCTGCGGATCCTTTAAATCCTTTAAATCCGCCGAATTCGCGGAAATATAACCGAGGCGCCATTAACGGTCTCTTTAGACGTTTTTGTTCGCTCGATCGATGTAAATTTACGTTGTGCTGTACTTTTACGGGGTATTACAGTATTTGCCGGTTACGGGAACTGGCGATATTAATTGTTATAGAACAATATGCACTCTTGCCACATTTTTCATCGCTCGACTAACGTTAGCTTTAAT